GGTTGGTCAAGAAACCAACTTTTACTTCTAGAGTTATGATATTTGCTCAGCATGTTGATGATAAAACATGATAATGGAACAATTAAGTAAACAATTTTCTATAAGCAAGGGGCCTATCCAATGAGAACAATACCGAAACAATGCCACACTTCAGCTGTGATCCAAATTAAGTGTAAATTTTCAATACCAGAAAACAAGATGCAACAATTCATATAATAAATATAGAGAAAATAAATTATTACAAAAACACTGCTGTCACTAAATATGAGGCCAAATGCAGAAAGCTTGGATTATAAGACTTTATCAAGTAGCTCCTACTTATTTTCTTAATCTTGTTTTATTATTTTACATGTATGGATGTTTTACCCGCATGCATGTACATGTACTACATGCATACACTGTTCATTGAAGTCAGACAAGGGTATCGATCTCCTGGAGCTGGAGTTAGAGACAACTCTGAGCTGGCATATAGGTACTGAGAATTGAACCCAAGTTTTCTGGAAGAATATCCAGTGCTCCGAGCTGCTAACCCATATCTTCAGTCTCCTGACTTAATTTTTATGCAATTATTGGTTAATTGGAACCTTTCATTTATTTTATGATGTTACACAAAAGGTAGCAGATCATTTCAGTTCAGTCAAGCTGCTAATGCCCTGGTTAATAGAAACCAAGGACATTCTATAGGGTTCGAAGAGGGCTGTCAACAGTCTATGGCAAAGCCAAACAGCCCTAAGATAAGCTTCCACATTCTCATTTATTAGCACACATTTTCACCAAGATAGAAGAAACAATTAAGAGGAGGTCACAAGTGACATCACCAAAAGGGAATTTAACAATTATTTTTAATGGCCTTTGAGAGAATCATAACCAGAGAACAAGTCTGCCACTTTCTTCTCTGACCTGTCCTTAGGAAACCTACATGTATGGGGTCCACACAATGAATTATTACACAAAACAATGCATTATTGGTATTAAACATGTGAGAAATTGCATTATAATGATAAAAGAACCCAAAACTCAGTCTTGAGGAAACCAGTTTTGACATGCTTGTTTCTCTAGGCAAGCAACAGAGGCAGGAAAATCCCATTTAAATAACACACAAAGAGCAGAAAGAGTGAGTCGGGAGCTAGGGAGGCTGTGAGTCCTTCAATTCTTCCATGGTGACGACTTCCTCAAGCAAGAGCACACCTCCAGAAGTGTCTGTAACCTCCTCAGTGACACTAACAGGGGACCAATTATTCAATTATAGGAGCCTACTTCTCATTTCTCATCCAATCCCAAATACCTATATATACTACAGTATAAAAAGCTATGCTAAACTTTAATTTAAAAGTTGGGGTTAAAATAATAAAGTAGAACAATTGTACTGCTATTGACTCATAAGATAGAGTAACTGTAACATACTACAACAAAAGGTAATGTGAATGGCATCTCTCTCACTCTCCAATTTTCCATTTAATATTCTTGAACCATAGTCCAATATAAATAGATAAATAAAATCCAAGAAAGCAAAACCACAGATTATTGAGGACTCTCTTACATTATAATGTATACCAAAACTGAAAAGACTATCAGTTTAACCAATAAAAATCACACAAAACTCCTAATTTCTTACATAATTACAATACTGAAGTTCTTTGTGTGCTCTGGTATTTGTTGGCATAAAAAAGCCATTATTCAGAAATGAGCTAGAGAATCTCTCTTGGGCTCAGCGCTTAGGAGTACTTTCTGGCCAGCAGTATAGCATGCCTTTAATCCCAGCACTTGGGAGGCAGAGGCAGGTGGATTTCTGAGTTTGAGGACAGCTGGGTCTACAGAGTGAGTTCCAGCACAGCCAGGGCTACTCAGAGAAACCCTGTCTTGAACCACTTCACCCCCCAAAAAAACCCAAAAAACAAAAACCACAAAATCCTTTTTGCTCTTACAAAGAAACCAAGTTTGGGTCACAGCACCTATGACAGGTGGCACACAACAGCCTGTAACTCTAGCTATGGGGAATCGTCTTCTGGCTTCCTTGGGATTCTACACACACACACACACACACACACACACACACACACACACACACACACACACACACCAACACACACCAACACACATACATGCATAAAATAAAATAAAATATTGTTTAAATTCTGTCACTTACACCTGAATTATTACTATGTATTGAGGCAGGCTACCAAAAGCATGAATTTCCTAGAGACACAGTGATAACAGCAATTGGGTGCCAGAATTAAATACCTAGAGAAGACAAAATCTTAAGCTTTGACTATAAGCTGTAAATTTAACAACCCATTTCCTCTGACAGCTTCTAAACTGTAACCTTTTGATTTTAAGAAAAAAATGGCTTTTCCTGGCAAGGAACTAATTAAGCCCAGTTGCTCACACCCACACAGAAAACAAGCCTGCAGTTTCACAGCATGGCCAGGTTGCCATGAGCAAAATATTAAAATATCAAGTAAGATGCTGTCTCTGGCTTCCAGGACCTCAATGCAGATAGTCAGATAAATCACCAAATAATGACAAACTGATGAAGTCAATGTTATGTGTGGGTGATGGATAAAGACCCCAGGACATCTGCACACTCTTAATGCCTAAATGATTATCGTCAAATTTTGCTGTCTCTCCTGGACAGAAAACTTGCTCATGCAACTATCAAGGCAGTGTTTTTCACCTGGATGTCTGAAAGCCCTTTCAAAGGAAATGTGTCAAAACTAACTCCTGTCTCTCTTCTCCCACATAATAATACTCCCTTCTCTTCTAAGCCTCTCTCAATTATAACTACCAAGGTTTCAACATGCTCATGTCAACAACTGTGCATCTGGAAATCCATTCTGTAAAGATGGCATTTGGGATCTGAACTTTTGTACATTCGTACATTCGTGCATTTGGTTTTGTGCATGTGTGTGAGTGTGTCTATGTATGAATGTGGAAAGAACACACATGTGTGGGGTTGTGTATGTGTATGATCACACACAAGGACTCAGGTTTTTTGTGAAAAGCACTTCACTGGCTGAGCTATCTCTGAAGCCCTGTTTTATTGTTTGTTTTAGTTTTTAAAACCAAAATGTAGATGATGTCAAAGGGAAAGAGGGAAATCAGTCATAAAATTACAGTCCATATCAAGACAAGTATATAAGTCACTTAATTAAAAACCCAAGTACTCATTTTCCATTACTTGTTCTCACACATCACATCCATCCACTGAACTGATGACTACCATCAACTCTATGGCTGCTCCCTTCTCAGGACTGCAGAGCAACCATCCTGGCCTAAGTGATCAGAGTCATTGACAGCATGGCTTTCCTGGGTTAGTATTATTCTACTGGCCTCCAGAACAAGAGGCCTGATTGAACCACTGTTTCATTCCAATGTGCTCTGAATACAAGTGTCGTGCAAACCTGTCTATACACAGTTCATTCCCTTCTGTGCCTTCCATCCTCACTCTAGTATAAATGCCAAATCCTTACTGGCCCTGCACAATCTGCTGCTCCATCCTTTCTCCTAAAACTCTCCAGGCCATTCTGCTTCATCTTTGTGACACATCCTCCTTTAGTTTCCTCTCTACACCACACCATCCTATAAAATAAGTGAAATCATCCTGCCCCACAATCACCTACCATCTCAACTGATAATCACTTTCTATTCATACTTTTTTCTAATCATTCATCAGTCATATCTCTATTTCTCTGTGTGTGTATGTCTGTCTCTGTCTCTGTCTCTATCTCTCTGTGTCTCTGTCTCTGTCTCTCTCTCCTCTCTGTCTCTCTCCTCTCTGTCTCTCTCTGTCTCTGTCTCTGTCTCTGTCTCTCTGTCTGTCTCTGTCTCTCTGTCTCTGTCTCTCTGTCTCTCTCTCTCTGTCTCTCTCTGTCTCTCTCTGTCTCTCTGTCTGTCTCTCTCTGTCTCTCTCTGTCTCTCTTTCTTTCTGTCTTTCTCTCTCTCCTCTCTCTCTCTCTCTCTCTCTCTCTCTCTCTCTCTCTCTCTCTCTCTCTTTCTCTGGTGCTCAGAATGGTGCCTGCTGTGTGACAGGCAAGCGATACACATCCTGTGAACACCTGAATAAATACAGGTGGAAGATAGCTCTGGCTGGTTATGAGAAATGCTGGAATGCTGGACGGATTCTGATGACACTGAAACTGGCTTCAAAGAAGATTCAAATTTGTCTAGTATGGGAAAATATCACTGCTATTTGCACAATTTTCCCCACAAAACCTTGCAGCACACAAAAACACAATTCTCATCCTAGCTGGGAGAATCTGCAGAAAACCCCATAGTCTGGAATAAGGTAGACTGTAGAAAAGAAAATTATTGCCACACTGGCCAGGAAATTTCACAGATGAGAAATTGCTGCAAATCCACCAAGCTCCTAAGTGACGTCCAGCCCATGTGCCCAGAGATTGCCTTGTCCATTGCTGCTTCGATGTTCATTTTTGTTTCTCTCTTACTTGTCATAAGATCTCAGCTTCATTTCCCAGATGGGATGACAGGTAATAGTTTATAAAAGCAGACGAGGAAACAGTGTCCAAAGTGTAGAACCTCTCCCTTTATCCAGAGCTCTGTCCTGGTGTATCTGTTCTAGTGTCACCTCAGCTGTGATTCCATAGTCCTATGCCTTGAATATCATCTCTTTTCATGATTGGCAGTGGTCTCAAACACATTTACATGTTTATTAGTTCCGTTTCCCTTAGAAAACGAGTTCCTTCTTATAGAGCAGATCTTGTGTATTTTCTCACAGGAAATAGGAAAGTGAGAAATAAAATGAAACAAACGAAAGGTTTTCCTCTAGAGTAAGAAAAGTACCAGACCCACAGATCACTGAGTCAATAAATTACTGAATCCAATTCTAGTGAAAAATAGGTATTTGGCTTTATAAGTTTAGACTCATTTCTAGAACCAGTTTGGTCAGTACATTTGCCAATTAGGAATTCCTCTACATAACATTATCACTAACACTATTATCATTGTGCCCACGTTTCATTTATGTCTCTCTCGTCTTCTAGGCAAGGCAACTCTTTCTGAAGCCTGGGGAAACGTCTGCTCTTCTGATGCAGTACTGCGAAAGAACAGAGCAAAGGAAGGCAGGGGTATCGCTTCAGCCATGATCCAGGAGCACACTTACAGGTGCCTTCCTCCTAGAGTAGACACAGGGGCCTTCTACCACTCCAGTGTGAACAGCAGCACTCGGGAGCTGTTCTGATTTCATTTGTGTTGCTGTGACAAACGCCTTGACAATGGGAAATTTGGGGAAGAATGGTTGGCTTACAATCAGTTTGCACTTCACTGTTTGAGGGAAGTCAAGGAGGGAACTTAAATCAGCTGATTGCATCATACCCTCAGTCCAGAAGTAAGACACTATTCCTGCTTACTGGCTCCTAGTTAGCTTTCTCTTAAACTGATCAGACCCTCTTGAATGGGATGCTGACACACACAATTGGCTGGGTCTTCCTACATCAATTGAAATCAAAACAAAACATGTTTATACAAGTAGCATTACAGACCCAGAGGAGGCTGTATTTATAAAGTTAGAATATGTAGGCATTATGTAAAGACAATTAATGGAAAGAGAGCATGAATTGGAAAGAAAGCTTGGAGGGAAGAAAGGGAAGGGGAAATGATGTAATTATATCATAGTCTACCCAAAAGGAAAAATAAACACCCATACACACAAGTCAAGAATAGAAGAGGGTCATTTCTACCACCATTCAGACTCTTGTGCAACTTAGAATAGACAAGATTTATAACAGACTAAGCTGGGGAAGTGTTGGTGCACGTCTCTAATCCCAGCACTCAGGAGGCAGAGGCAGGCAGATCTCCGTGGGTTTGAGGCCAGCCTGGTCTACAGAGTGAGTTCCAGGACACCCAGGATTACACAGAGAAACCCTGTCTCAAAAAAAAATTTAAAGCAGACTAATTTGCAATGTCAGGAATAGGAAAACACTACTGGACTTAATATCAAAACCAAGTAATAAGATTAAGTAAAAATAAATATATATAACTATATATAGTACATGTATTAAGATCAGAGTACAAATTCATACTCTGATTTTCAAATATATTCTAGCACTGATATCAAGTTAGTATTAACTTGATATAAAGAGATATCAGGGCTAAGTTGTTATTTTTTTGTCTTTAAATGGAGGAAATTCTCTATCTCAGAAAACTTACTAATTTTTTGTTTTTGTTTTTCGAGGCAGGGTTTCACTGTATAGCTCTGGCTGTCCTGGCACTCCCTCAGTAGACCAGACTGGCCTCCAATTCACAGAGATCTGTCTGCCTCCCAAGTGATGGGATTAAAGGCATGTGCCACTACTGCCAGACTTCAGAAAGCATTTTTATTTTAAATTCTTTATTATATTGAAAATCATTATTAAAAAAACTCACACAACAAAATTAACCAGACCCAAGCATTCTTTAAATTTGATAAAGTCTTAAAGCTCACAAATACAGGTATGGCGATGTACATATACATAGATCATTGTGGTCCTTCGCATCCTTTAAAGGAAAGAAAGGAAGGATGCAGCATTTTGATAATCATCAAGTTCTCATTATAAAACACCTTAATTCTTTAAAACAAAATCTGCTCCATCTCCTGGCACTATGACTGTCTGTCAGTTGAAGACACACATACATAGTGATGGCTACTCAAGAAATATGACTAGTGATAAAAATCTACAATGATTTGATTTTAGCATGAAAAATTGAGTAGTAGTGATAAAATACTATTTATGACTGTCCTTTCCTAGAGGCTAATAAACATAACGGGCAAGCTATTAGTAGAAATCGTGAGGAGAGACAATGTGCTTTCATTATCACTTCCCAGATACTATTTGGGAGACACAGAACAAGTCCCTAATGGCTTTACCTCAGCATCTGCAGTGTATGCATCAGTTGCTAGGCAACATGAAAGTCAAGGATCCGGTATTAGGCTTCCTGCACAATGGGGCAGTTTAACGCTCATATGAATACTAATACATAACCTTAATAAACTCTTGTTTTCTTTGGGAGATTGAATAAATTATTCAATGTTAATTATTAAAAATTATCTAGGAACTTCAATAAATTGCTTCTAGTTCCCAGTGAATAAGAAATAAAAATTGTAGATGTGCTGCTTAATTTCTGTCATCTTGACACAAACTTAGATTAGGAAAAAATGACTCTTAATTGAGAGAATGTCTCCACAAGACTGACCTTCAAGAAAGTCTGTGGAATATTGCCTTGACTAATGATGGATGTGGGAGGGTTCAAGTCACCGTAGATGGGACTGCCCACCCAGAAAATGGTTCTGGGATACATAAGAAAGCAGGTTGTGTTCTTTCAGAAGCTGCAAATCAATCTACCTCAAAATACCACTCTTAGAGATTCCCAAAGGACTCTGTATTCTACTATAGAGATACTTGCTCATCTGTGTTCACTGTTGCTCTATTCATAACTAGAAATTAGAAATTTATAAGTAAATGGAGTTAGAAAAACATCATCTAGTGTGAGGTAACACACAAGAGTTGTGTGGACAAGAAGGTTGGGAGGACCTGGGAGCAATTTGGAGAAGGGGAAACAGGATCAAAATATATGAATTTTTGTCAATAAAAAAGAAAGCAGGCCATGAGAAATGAGATAAGTTAGTAAGCAGTGTTTTTTCATGGCTTCTGCTTCAGTACCTGTCTTCCTACCTTGCTTGAGTGCCCGAGTTCCCTCAGTTATGGACTGTTATCTGGGAAGACAACCCCTTCTCTCCCCAAATTGCTTTTGGTCATGCTCTTTATCACAGCAACCGAAAGCCTATCTAAGAGAGAAATTAGTAGCAGAAGCAAGGAATCGCTGTGACAGACTTGCCTATGTGTTTTGGAGAGGATTGTGGTGGTATTTGAGCTTGAAAGTCACCGAGTACTCAGAGCTTAGTGGGCCATTCTGTGGGGGCTTAGAAGATAAACGGTTGGGAGAAATGCAGACCACAGTGGCTTGGGAAGTTACACAAAGAAGCAGTGACTCTACCAGGGCCACTTATGTTATACTCTAAAGTAAGATTCTGTGGTGCTGGTCAGCTGGAGCTGAAGAATCAGCTGTGACCAGCATAGTGGAAGCAAAATCTGGGAAGTTGTTTCCTCAGAGTCAGCACACAGAAGCTGTGGTCCAGAGGGGACCAAAGCTGTATCTTGTGATGGATCTGAAGTTGATTATGTAGAAGAGTCTTCCAGGTGGTACCAGTTCTGAAGGCATGAAGGTGTCACGGAGGGCAGATGAGACTTAGCACTGTGAGAGGCCGGGAGATGCCATTGGTGAAAGTGAGGCCTCAGAGGCAATACAAGCTCCAGGACTGAAGGGGTCATGGAGAGATGCTGGTATTCTCAGGGCCAGAATCTCTGAAGAGAGCCTAGGAGAGCCTGTTGGCTAAGGTGCAGTTCAGTTGCAGGGGAGACCCCATTAGTTTAGAGATTCCAGCATGATGGATGACCTGTAAGGACAGCTGTGGAATGGAGCCACTCTGAGCCTATGACAGGAGCTGTGTGTGCTGAGTATGGCAGAACCAGAGAGGTAGAGCTGCTCAGTTCCCTTGGAGCCTAGAAGACCTTAAGTCTCAGAAATCTTCTGGCACTGAGCTTTATACTTACAGACTTTCACTGGAATGTATCTATGCCCTGTTTTGTCCCCCTCATAGAAATAAAAAGTTTAATTTTTTGAGAGACTGAATATTTTAGAGAGACTTTGGATGTATTAAAGGCTCTGCAATTTGAGAAAGTAAAGAGACTGAACTTTTAATGTAGTTCAGTTAAAAAAAACTGTGGGACTTTAAAAAGTTGCAATGCTTTATGTATAGTTAATAATAGGAGATCTTGGGGATGATCAAAAGAGAAGGATTATGTGCTTTGGAATATTACTTTATTTAAAGATGTGTTACATTTGTTTAAGTTGTGGACTATACTTTAACTATGTAAAGATGTTTTGCATTTCCTTATGCTACAGACTAATACTTTAACTATGTAAAATGTTTATGTTATGTTAAAATTTGTTTATGTTACAGAATATCTAACTAGATAAAGATGTGTTACATTTTTTATGCTGTGGAATATTATTTTAACTATGCAAAGATGTATTGCATTTGTTTATGCTGCATTTGTTTAACTATGAAAAGCTGTGTTACATTTGTTTATGCTGCATTTGTTTAACAGTGTAAAGATGGGTTGCTTTGCCTGACAAGACACCTGATTGATCCAATAAAGAGCTGAATGTCCAATAGCTAGGTAGTAGAGGGATAGGTGGGGCAGAGATAATAAGTAGGAGAAGGAATCTAGGCTCAAGAGACAAGAAAGAATGATAGAAAAGAGAGGGAAATACCCAGAACCAGCCAGCCACCATCCAGCCAGATACAGAATTAAAGAAAGGTAAAAAAAAGCCTGAAGAGAAATGTAAATGAAGTGAACAGGTTAGATTAGGTTTGTCAACTTGACACAAACCTAGATATATCTTAACTGAGAAAATGCCCCGATAATATTGGCTTCTGAGCAAAAACAGAAACTGTCTAGATGGGAAGCCAGGAATCACAGAATCAAATCTATAGGCTCATTGTGACTCTGAAACAGTATCTGAACTTCTCTGGGAGTCATGTAGTCATCTGAAAATTAAGAGAGCAATGCTCACCTGAGTGAATTTTGAAAATGAGGTGACACGATGCATGTTGAAGCAATAAACCACAGAAATGCCAACCATCATTCCATTTAAAGGGGGCATTTCAGCATTCAAAAATGAATGAATAAAGGATTTCATAAGAGAAATCCATTTAGAAATTAGACTTTGTTTTCATATTAGTATCAGAACAACCTGGCTGTGGATTAATAAATATGGACTTAAAAACAATCACAGGGAAGTACTTACAATTAACAGCCTTTTTAAGATTTTCAGCTATTTCCATTAATTCCTCCAGGTATGTAAGAATAGAAACAAGGGGGCAAAGATGCAAAGGAAGCCTGTGAATGATGGCTCAGGTATCCCCTCCTTGTGTTTTCCACACTGTAATTTCCTGATCATTTATGTCTTTAAAAGAAGAGGAGGAGACAGGTGAGAGAGAGGAGGGAAGGAAGAAGAGAGAAAGGAGGAAAAGACAGGAGTAGAGGAAGCAGGGAAGAGGG